AACAATAAAAAAATGCAAGTTAAAAAAAGCCTAGAGCTAGTTTTGTGGCTGTTTTTCCTGTAAGTACATAAGCTTACATTGTCGTGCAAATGATACACAATGCGAAATCCTGAGACAAAAATTTAGCAGATTTATTATCTATTTAATAACATAACTTAGACGTCTTGAGACTAGTCAGACTGGTTTGTTCCCTTTTCGAGTACTCAAGATGCAGCGTGCAGCAAATAGTATTAAAGCTTTACAAAATATTTGGCTTCATTTGGCTGTTGCAACAATTCTCACAATTCTCAGCTCGCCATCATGTTTTCACTTCGACTAAAGAGATCGTTTCATCACTAGGGACCTTAACAGAAACGATTACTAACTTACTAAATTTCCTGACCGGCTGTTACCTTGGCGTGCGGAATTTCATGAAAATTAAAGGCAGTACTGTCCCGTCCGCGGCTAGTAGTTTTTCGATTTAAAGTTCGGTAGTAAACATTATGTCAAATCCAATGTCCAATGTGTGGGGTGAAAACAGCTTCCTCTTCATAAACACGACGTGGATAGGCAATGATTCGCTCAAAATTCGCAAAATGCACAGGGGTGAACTTATTTTAAAAATTGCATGTTTGTCCGCCATTACTCTTCCCGCCATCTTGAAAACAAGATCTGCCAGACGTCTCGCCCGTTATCTCCTTCCCGCCTTCCTTTGCGCGCACGTTTAAAGAGAGACGTCTGGGTACGAGGCAGGGAGTTGGTTCTATGTACATATCATCTGAGCAGAGCCTAGCGAAGTAATCATTCAAGTCCATCAGACAACTGTTATCCAGGTTTACTTTGCTGGATGCACCACAGGGCACCCACACAATCTGTTTGTGTAGCCGATTGTTATTTTATAGTAGATATACTGGATTTACCGTTTGCTTCACCTATAGCAAAATATCGCTAACTATGTATATAAATCAATGATAAATAAACCTTGAATTACCTTACCTGTGGTATATAGTCGTCCTTCTACTTCAAAAGCGGTTTTTTTGAGCGATTTTGAAGGAATTTGAGTTCGCGGTTGACTGTTCCATATATAAGACTCAGACCCTGCGAAATATTAATCATTTTATTGGTGGACACAATTTGTTTCAGACGAAAAGGATATATTTGCTGAATAAAGGTGAAAAAACGCCATTTCGCAAAATAGTAATTTTGGCAAAATTACTACTTTGCGAAAGGAGTTCTACTACGGCCAATAAAATGAGAGGTGCCCAGACTCTTTAAAATATTAATCAATTTATTGGTGGATACAATTTTTTTCGGACGAGAAGGACATATTTGCTAAATATAGGGGAAAAAAAAGGTTAAAAAACGCCATTTCGCAAGATAGTAAATCTGGCAAAATTACTACTTTGCGAAATGAGTACTAGTACGGCTAATAAAATGAGAAGTCACCAGACTCTTCGAAATATAAATCATTTTATTGGTGGACACAATTTGTTTCAGATGAAAAGGACATATTTGCTAAATATAGGTGAAAAAAACGCCATTTCGCAAAACAGTAATTGTATTGAAATTACTACTTTGCGAAAAAGGTAAAAATCCGTCATTTTTCGTTAACTATTACTTCCAAACACATTGTCAATGTTGTCTTAAGCTGAGTTTAGGTTAATAAGCATTTTTTCTCCCTCTCCCGTATATTTCGTTTCGTTTCACAAAATAGAATAACCCGTTTTTAAGTTTCCTTGGCCTGGCGCCGATCAACGAAAACGCCTGGGCGGATCATTCAAAAATGATCGAAGGAGAGGCTAAGCGTTTGCTCGAGAAAGAATTAAACCGTGCTTCTCGTGGTGTAAAAGAGTGGAAGTTTTCCAACGGAGAATTAAACTGTTCACTTGAAGATGTTGAAGAAAGTGTTGTGGACATTGGGGTAACGATCGATGCCTTGTGGAGTGCGCGAGGATGCTCAGCTTCTGTTACTGTGGAAGCCGCAACTTCTGTTGACACAGGAAAAGTTGTGAACGTGGTTCACCTATGTTCTTCTTGCACTGAGTGTAAAAAGATGGAGAAGAAGAGGAAAGAAGAGAACATAACCGCTGGGTTCATTAGTCACGAGCCAAATTGCTATGTAAACCACGAGGGTAGTAGTCTGCTACACAGCCGTTATTAGTGTCGTCACGCAACGCTC